ACCCATCCACAGCACGGTACTCCTCAACTATCGCAGAGCCTCAGACCTGACAAAGAGTCTGACTGTGAGAGAGTCGGGCTGTGCTGGCAACTCAGGGGATATACAAGTACGGGTAAATATGGTCAGGGACCCTTGTAGCGGGAACAGGTGGACATTCCTCCTGGCTCAGTATGATAATAACACACTAATCCGCCAGCAAGGCACGGCCCCTCCACCGGTTAACTCCGGGGTAGCTATCAATTAACCGTCCCCACCAAGGAAATTAACAGTGCTTAACATGTTGCTCGCATGAAAAGTTAGACTTTTATCACAAACTACTTGTAAAAAGCCTGAGATATTTTCATTTCCCTCTCAATTAGGATTAGCAGACAATCACCCACTATTATCCGATAGAGCCTTAATTCTCGTAGGAGCGGTTATCGAATATCCTTTTGAGGGTTGTTGAGGTGGGAAATGTTTTTTCTTGGCGAGGTGGTCCGGCTGCGGCACGAGAAAGTTACAATATGATACCCCACTATGTCTGAGGTCGAGAGGATTTTGCTGGAGCTGAGCTCTATGAGTACCGTACGGTAGTACGGTAGTACCGGGACTCGTCCCAGGTAATACCCGGAAACAGGGATCCGCAAAATCGCACCCCGCTGTCCTGGATCTCTATCGTCAGGTTAAGTTGCCTCACTGTCCCGAATGAAGAGAAACCTTTTCGAATACCATGAAAAACACGGGGGGTACCATTCCCTTTATCTCCACGAGTATGATACAATGCCATTCTTGGTGATACTGTAACATACCGTCACAAGGTTTCACATTGGAACAAAATATTTACTCTAGAATTCCCTAGGACTCTTTGTTGAACAACCCACCTAAAACGCACCACCTCAGAGGGGGAGCAGACTAATACTAACAATATCATGATCACCTGTGTTTAATTCCCCTGCCATGGTTTTTATTTTATTTTTCTTCACAGTTTTACGGTAGGCCAAAGTCAAAGTAATTCTGCGCAAAGGTTTCCCTTTTTTGATGGTATATTTCGGAAGGTTTTTCGCCAAGAGCATTGTATTGAAAAGGTTTATTCCCCATATGAACTTTGTTAGCTCCCCTCTTGGAGGTGCGGTACGGTAATACTATCGGTACTCGAGCAAGGGCCATATGACGGGTCGGCGGTGTTCTTCCCAGTTAGCCATGAATGAACCCCGATTGGACTGTGAGTCCCAAATTTCTTCACACTGAATGCCCTGAATTGCACACTGTGCCGGACATACGGCATCCACAGGACTCTGGCCGCCTGGGGTAACGGGGTACGACTGAACTGTATATGGCAATAGAATCCGTGCATGTCTGAGCGCCCATACTTGGATAAATTCACAACCCCTTGTTGTCGGAAACTGTACGAGTACGTACGAGCACTTGCACCGGTATGATACCGGTACCAGCGCGTCTTGCCTGCAACTGACACGAGTGCGGGTGGTCTCAGACCTTGGGCAGGGTATACCCTGAGAACCGGAATAATCGAGAGTCTCCCTGGGACTCTGGAGTTGCCCCTCCCCTCCTCCTAAGCTCCATTGTGTTTCTCTTTTTTATGATATTTGTCTCAACTAAGGGCTGAGAGAGAATCTTTTCGCTGTGTTTTCTCTCCCCTTACCGGTATTATGATAACTTTAGGGGAGAAATTCTCGACATCCCTAGTTTTTAGGGTGGCCAAGATTGATGAGGAGATTGGAAGAGGAGGCCCGAACGTGGTATAAAAAATCAAAACACGCCAGGCCAAGCTCGCTGAAACTACGCGTCCAAAGTACTAGTACAGGTCGTGCTCACTGCTCAGTCAAGAAAATCGGGGATGAGTCCGGATTCTTTTCTCATGGCAATTTTTGACACGAGTGCCGTATTCGAGTGCTCCAGTACGGTATTCATACAGTACCGCCCTTGTAAAACCTGAGTCGGGTGAATTACTATGATTGTGGATGTCCGAGCGTTTTAAGTGGTTCAGGCCGCTTGGTGGACTTTCGGTTGCTGATGACTGAACAGGGTTAGTTGAAATGTTTGAAAGCACCACCGTACCCTATTGGTGCAACCGCCTGGCGAGCGAAGGAGAAGACTACCGGTAATTACAAGTACCACCAAGTACTGTACCAACGAGGAACGGTCCCAAGGTCAACTTTAAGTTGGGCTGAAAGATAAATTATGGGTACGAATGGACGGCTTCACTCGAGTACTCAAGTAGACCACAAAAAAGTTGTGAACATAAAAGGCACAAGAGGCGACGAGAAAAGGGATTTGGCGGATTAGTTGCAGCCGCGGTGTGCTTGACCTGTGCTGCCATCGGGCTTGGGAGCCCCTTTTTTCGCATCCAATGCAACCTGCATCATTGCACAATCATCATGGGAGCGCTGGCGTGCTCAAGGAGGAATTTAGAAGCCCAGTGCAAAAAGAGATATAAAAAATAAAAAATAAAAAAAGGTTACCCACATGAGCAGCAGCACAGAATGAGGCCGGAATTTCTACGAGTAGCTAGGTACCCGGGAAGACGCATTTCAGATCTCATCGAAAGCCCAAAAAAAGAAAAAAAGGAGAGCGAGTCACCATACGAGTATGAAGAGGCATTTCAAGCCGTGTCCACCCACAGCCTCGATATTGTCAATGGTACAGTACGAGTACAAGTGCGGTACTCATGAGAGATGAGGAATTCGATGTCGAAATGTTATGATGGAACGGCATTTCCGTCCCCATCGAGATGCAATCAGAGATTAAGCGTGCATTTGAGGAGCCAGGCCAGTACTCGAGTACGGTAGGAAGTACCGAAAGCCAAGACAGGGGAGGACAGGTACCGGGATCCTGATTCCCCAAGTCCTGCACCTTTGCTTCTTTGGTGCTTCTTTTGGTTCCTTTTTTTCTTTCCTGTTTTTTTTCTTCTATTTTCTTCTTTTTTCTTTTTCCTATGTCTCTCCTCCCATCCACCAAGTGGGCGGAGGGGGATGAGAATTTGAGCAATAGGGTAAAGAGACATGTGGGATGGGGAAGCGGGGAGTGCTCGAGTACTGTACTTGGGTATAGTACTCGAGTACAAGTATCGTTGTGGGAGGGCACAGTACAGTACCACCGCACTCGAGTACAGTGCTGTATCATAATTTTCTAGCAGCCTGCGGTGCAGCGCCAGACTGAGCATGATGGAAAACTGTACTGTACCAGTACGAGTATTGGTATGATGTATGGTGTGGGTCTGTGTGCTGCATCTGGCACAAGCGTGAATCTGTACTCGTACTTTTAGGTACGATGTGGTAGGTAGCCAGCATTCTTTGTGTCGATCGCCTTCTGGTGTGATTCTTATCCAGTGAATTCTCCGGACCTTGCGAAGAATGATCCCCGGCAAAAGCTGTTACTAAGGCACCATTTTATGGGAGCTGGGGCGGGGCAAGGAGGGAAGAATACGGCAGCAGTTCTGGGAATTCCCGTGATGAGAAGAGGGCTGTTTCTTCCCATGAAAGTTTTTGTTTTGCCGTTACACACCTGGGCCAAGTCATGTGCAGCAGCTGTTGAGACGCGTCGCAGGAGACAAAAAGATATATCCTCGCATGCCATATCATAATATTATCTCCAGAGGGCCCCCCGCCACTGATTGACCTTGGTGCATGATATGTGTGACAGGAGTTCGTTCGTTCGTTCGTGTGCCTCGCAATAGCTTGGGGGCGGGCTTTAGGGAGCGGCGGGAATCTATTCGGAGCGGGTGCCGTATGTTGTCGGTTTATTGCGTTCGAGTGACAAAAGAAGAGAAAGCAATAGCTTATGATTGATTATGATCGAATGAAAAGCTCGGAGTAGGAACTACACAAGCTACGAATAAGGAGAAAGAAAGTAAACAAAGGCACGGTGTTTAGTTTGCATTGTATACGAGATCGGAGCTTCCAGCCCTGACTCGTTTACCTCTATGTTGGTCTCAACTTGTTTGCATCCCCACCAGTTGTTCATCCTGGTTTAACAAGGTCGGACGTTCCCAGATCTGCGAGAAACTCCTCCGGCTTTTGGCATCGCGAACTACTCGACTGCGGTCTTCATACCAGTCTCAATCAACCTCGTTGCGCCCCAGAAATATCGGCTCGTCTCTTTCTCCGCCCGTCTTCGTTTACGGGTTGCGCTTGGGCATTCACCGTACCAGTGCCGCACAATATATCCTCTCGCTACTGTGCCAGTACTGCTATCACTATCCTCTCTCCCCTTCCCTCTTCCCTCCCTTGAGAAGTTTGATCAGTGCGCCACTCTGCCAAAGCCCACCCACCCCCTTCCGAAGGCCGTGCCGTACCTTTCTCTTACTATCTTTGATAATTGATCAGTCTTATACAAGTTAATAAGGCTTTCTTCTTGGTTCTCTTGAACCTCCCCCATCCTCCCTTCCCCCCACCCCCCCCTTCTGAACGAACAACGGTTGCGCCCTTTTCTCTTTCTTTCTTTCTTTGCTTCCCTCCTTCCCTCCTTCAGTCCCCTATTACTTTTCCGAATAGGAATCCACTTTTTCCCTTGGGCCAATTGGTCATTTTATTTCCCTCTGCGGACGGTTCTCATAAGCGGTGGCAGCTCCCGCTCGCTCGTTTTTCACACGCTTTTGATCTCTGACCGAGAACGACGAGTGAAGAAAAGAAAACTACCGCTCTGTCCCGCTGTTGCTGCGCACTATTTCGTCTCGTCCCTCCTGCTTTCTTCGTCCCTGTTTCCAAAAAGCTCCACAGCAAAACAGATCGTGGCAGGAAAAAATAACCAATAGCTTTCCCGTTAATGATAACCTTGTTGGTAGCCGCTCTTCGCATTGTTACTTAGGGAGAGCTTGCCAATACTTGATATTGTCTATTTTTCACTCCTTTTTTATTTAATTTCTAGCCGGCCACCGCACTTATTACGGAGTTTGTCGGGGACGGGCAGATTGGGTCGAGTTGAGAGCTGTTGTTACTACCGTGTTCTGCCACTTTTTACCGACTGCTGCATATTAATTTCGACCGTAATACGCACAAAGAAAAATGAATAGACCTACTCGACCGGACTCCCTCAACTTGCAGCAGCTGCCGCATCATCAACAACCTCCTCTCACCCACAAAAGAAGTCAAAGTAATGGATCCATAGAAAACCCCCTAAGCTCCCACGGATCTTCTATCATCTCGATGGGTTACCCACTGGCTTCAGTTACTCCGGAATCGGCTTATATCGCCGCATCCGCCGCCACAGGGATTGTGACGAGTAATCATGAGAGTTTCTTACAGGATGAGGGAATTGTTAGCCCTGGATCTCCTACCATTCTCGTTACGCCGCCGTCGCTGAAGCTCATCAACCAATTTCTCGACTTTCTCCTATATGAGTTCCTTTCTTCGGCCAAATCGACCTCACTCAGGCTCTTGAGGCCAGCGGTTGAGGAGGTTCTTCGCTGTCGACTTGCAAATGAAGCTATTTCTGGTGCGGATCAGGAGCTAACGTCTTACCTTGGAGGAGGGGATGGGGAGGACGACGAGGATTTTGGCGAACCGCAGGAAACGACTGGAGCATGGGATCTAGAGGGAACATGGAAGAAGACCAGGCTGCGGTGCATGGTTTACTCGTCTCTGGGGGACTTGGAGGAGGACGATGAGGCTGTATATTCCGGAGTTGGCCTTGAGGGATCAGTCGGAGCTCAGCAATACAACGCTCACAGTGCCATGCCCGGTATTGTTTCACCAGCGGTGGCAATCTGGCTCACCGCTGTTTTAGAGTTTGTGGGCGAACAAACGCTGCTTGTTGCTGGTCATGCAGCCATCAACCGCTTTGCTCAGAAACTACCTACCAATGAGGCCAGAGAAATGTCCGACGCTACTGAGAGACCTGTTGTTGAGGAGTTGGATACGGAAAAGGTGGCCTTGAATCCGTCCCTTAGCCGACTATGGCGACAATGGCGCAAGCGAGTGCGAGGAAGGAGCTCTTTCTCCATTCCCTCCCTACAACGTCATGAGAGACGAGCTAGTACCTCCAGCCGGACAAGCGCAAGCGGTCTTACGACGGGAAACACTTTGAGGGGCGAACCCTCTGCGGCCAAGGGTACATTTGGGGGGGATGAGGCGCCTGTGGTAGGAGTGGACAAAGAAGTGGAATTTGGGGACGATACTGCTACCCTTGAGGCTAACAAGGAGGCGTTGCTGACTCCAATCGTCGAGGCCGCTCCTCCAGCTGGTGGAGACGCCGAGAGACCAGAAAGCCGTAAAGTTGAACTGATGAGTCTTGGCGAGCTTATGGTAAGTCTTACGTTTCTCCTGGGTGTGGGAAAGGAAAGAACCCTGGTTTCGTGGCATCGATCCCTGGTTGCGATCTGTGCTAACGTGTCCAAGGAGTTGGAAATCACGGGCAAATTGGAGAAACGCCGTCCACAAAGCTTGATCCTTTTACCTTGGACTACGGAGTCGCCATTTGTTACCCGTTCACCTAGCATTAAGCGGCCTTGCTCGTTACCAGATCTTACTCGAGGGGATTTCCCTGATCCAGTTGCTGAAGACGAGGGAGAAAGGACGGGTTCGGACAACCTTGAAATAGCCAAAGGTGAAGTAGAGACGGGCGAGGCGGCAGAAACCGACCAAGCCTTCTACACGCCAGCAGAGGAGCAGAAGGGCTGGCCTGCTGAACCAGGCAAGGAATTAGAGTCTGTGGTCGAAACATACGAACAACCGGACGGCTCAATTATTAACCAGTATTCAAATTCCGAGATGGTACAGGCTAAGCGAGAGTTCTCAGAGGACGGGGCTATTGGGACCGAGTCGCCTGAAACAGCCGAAAAACTTGTTTCGGTTTCCGGGAATGACGAGGATCTTAATGGTGAAATTGGGGTTGCTCACACTTCGGATGTCCTTGTAGCACCACCAGTATCTTTGTCTTCCTCGCGAGCCCGTTGTGAGGAGGTTGAGGAAACGCCGATGCATCAGCCACAACAGGAGGATGAGGTAGGAAGGGCACCGGCTAGTCCAGTTTGCCACGTTGCTGCTGCTTCTTCAGACGTTTCGTCAATGCATTCTGCCGGAATTGTCGAAACTCCGCGATCCACAGAAGATCAACCTCCCCCAGTTCCCGAGAGGGCAGCGAAGCGCCCATCAACTGCACCTGCTGCTAGCGATCGCACTAGGGCGGTTGATAATGCAGTCGTTTCGGATGACGATATACTAGTTGTGATCAACCGACAGGGCTCCGGAATGGAAACGTCGACCTATCCGGGCGCGAGCCTTACTGGGAATGGAAATTCTTCGCACTCTAAAAAGGGGTCGTCGACGAGTAGCAAACATTCTCAATACTCTCAACTTTCTGATAGAAAGATTGGCCAACTTACCCTGGTCCAGCCTTCTTCTAGCAGCTGTATCTCGATATCGTCTGAACGTGCAAATGGAGTGCGGGTGTGGACATCTCCATCAACGCCTGACAAGTCTCGTCGTTCCTCAAGTTTCAGCAAGGCCCAGCGTCCAATATATTCCTCTGGTTCCAGCACGTCACAGTCGTCAGCAAAGTTCAAGAGCTTTGTTCCCTGGTCGGTAGGAAGTGCGGGTCACTCAAAGGCTCCAGAATCAGATGACGAGAGTCACAGCAGTTTGCATAGTGAACGGCAGTCGGCAAAGTTGGCAAATATGGATGAGAGAGAGCGTAGCTTTGAGGAATTGATTTCTCGTGGTGATACGATTCACTGCACAATCACCCCTGGTCCGATCAGGAGAATAGAGGTACGGCTTGCATAATCGCCTGGACTTAGGACTGTTTATAACTATTGATTTAGGGGTCCCCACGCTCCACGACACAGACTGCAGACCTAGTAGAGTTCCTGCGCACCGGACCAGATGGCACGGAACGCCCGCGCACCGTAACATCAAATAAATCGGGCTCGCGCCCTTCATCTGCAAGAGCCAAGGCCATCATTACGAAAGACCCAATCAGCGGTGATAGCATCGCTCCGACACATACGCTCCGTTCGACAACCTCCCCTCCCATTACCACTTTAGCCTTCGCTGGCCCTCCACCGCCATCTAGGCACTTTGATACCACCACTCAAACCGTGAAAATGCCTAGCTTGTTCGGGCCTCTGTCCGCTACGACAACTCTACGGGCTGACGGCTTTGGTTCAAAGCCTCCTTCCTCTCCTAGTGGAATCATAATTCCAGCGGTCATGAAACAGCAGCGGTCTGATACGCCATCGACTGTACATTCGCGCCCAAAGAATCATTTAGTTCCCCGCGATGCGAGCGGGTCCACTAGTAGTGCTTCTACGTCAGCATTGGCTGACTTCTTCCGCAACACAACGCCTCCGGTTGACGGGGAACACACCATCCAGCGACGCATATCCCGTAGTGTCGCTCCTTTCCGCAACACAATGGATTCTGCACAATTCGACGCCGCTCGAGATCCTGAGCGAACTGAACCAGTGGATTCGATTCCTGGTGGCCTCGGGCTTGGCCTGAACTCCGCACCTGAGGATTCTTATCAATCGTCTTTTTCCTCCTCTACTGCTCTTCTTCGGAGCAACTCTGGTAGAGCCCACGATTACGGAAGTATGCCCGCTCCACAGCGAAAGCAGACCAGGGTCAGGGACTCGCTCGCGGTCGTCGATATCGAAGAGCAAGACGACCCGGATCTGGTTGGGCTCGAATTGGTGATTCCTAAGAGGAAAGAAGAAGAGAGTTTAATTGACTTCCTAAGAAATGTCGCACCGCCACCCCAGCCTCCAGAGGATCCCAGGGACAAGGCGCAAAAGAAGAACAGCTCAGTCAGTTTAATGGGTCGATTTACCCGCTCATCAACCCGCAAGAACTCCATCGCTTCAAATGCAGACAGGGTTATCCCCATGGTCCCCCAACTCCCTGCTCTGTTGGATGGACCAGCAAAGTACGTCCCACTGCTCTCCGACACAGACCACATGTCGCCGCACCACTCGAGTAACGCACCACCACCATCATTATCAGCTAAGCGCCATGACTCCTACCGGCTAACTTCCGATCTGAGAGAGCACCGAATGATGGGCAACGGCGGCGTGCAAGTAAGGGTCCAGTATCAAGCTAGGGATGCTCGAGTAGAGCGAGACGACACAGATAGCTTGGTGGACTTCCTAAAGTACACTTCACCTCCGCCGCCCATGTCCACAGATGCTTCTCCGTCGATGCTTAAGGAGGAAGGACCGAAGTTTAAACTCTCGTTTGGGAGGAAGCTGAAGAGGAACGAAGTGTATTAGGTTTCATCTTTTATTTCCCTATTACCCGCTCCCCTCCCCGGTTCTTTATTTTGTGTAATGACATCCTTTTTTGCCCACTTGCGTCTTTTTTTTTTGCGTCTTTCTTGCTTTATGTTTTTTTATTCTTTCGCTTTTCTCATACCCTCTTTTCCTTTCTATATGTCGCGCTCTTAATCGGTCTGGAGAAATGGAAGGTGAAACGAAAGAAAAGTAGCCTTTTTTCCCCTTTCCTCCTCTCAGCTAGCATTACTCTCGCTTAAATTATCCCGTTCCTCGGCTCGACATTTTTGACTTGTCCAATTTGGCCTTATCCTTCCCATTTCCCGCCGTTGCCTTGGGCCAACCTCCACCTCTCCACAAGGGGTTTAGTTTCTCATTTCCTTCTCGTCAAAAAGCTCCTGTTCTCTTCTCTCTTTCCCCATTTTCTCCATAACGCAATGCAGCAAGGTTAGAGGTGGTTATCTTCTCTTCACTTTTCTTTCTTTGACTTCGGCTTTTTGATTTTCGACTTACTCTATAGTGACATGTGTTGGGTTTTACTCTCTCTTTCTTCCTTTCTTGTAGATACTGTTTGTCTGTTTTGTCTGTTTTTGTTTTTTCCTAAACCAATTGAGTTATTGAGTTTTTTGGAACGTTTTTTTGAGATTGAGAGGAATGGGGAGTATTTTTTGAGTCTAGTTAAATTGAATCATGGCTTATCACTCGATCTCGAATCTCGATCAATTGTTGGGTTGACTTACGGTCAATCGGGTGTGATCTTTTCCCTCTTGGGCGTGGGGTGGGGATTGTGGGTGGTATGCGGTGGGGCAGGGAATGATATTTGGGGACGTATTGCGCTCGTAGACTACTGTACTGTATCCCTCCTGGTGTCTGCAAGTCGGGGTCGAGCGAGACGGCATCCTTGCGACTCACTTTGGAAAGCTTGAAACATTAAAGCAGGCGGTAGTCCCCCAGTCTCGTCCTGTGGAGCCTTGTCACAAACCGCAACCGCTGTGTTTTCATTCCTCCTAGCTCCGCCTGCGATATCTTCAACCACCTCATCCCATTCCAAGTCCCACTCAATCTCAAGCTCTCTCCTCTTCCTAGTCTTCATCTGCAGTAACTTATAGCAAAGCAAGACAATCCAATCGCCAAATCACTCACTCTAACCTTTCCTTCCCCCGCTTCATTCTCCTCGATTTCCTTCTCGATCAATGGCACAATCGCCGAAATTGCCTTCGAGCCCTGTTTGCTCCCAATATAGAATAAGGGGTGAGAACGTAGGTTTCTACAAAACCGCTAACAGTAGCAAGAGCAGTTGAGCCGATTTCGGAGCTGGCAGATGGTAGAAGCTGCGTGAGTGATATTGATGATCTGGCCAAGTTTATGTACCCCGAGCTATTGATTCGGACTCCCCCGATTTGCCATGGATAAAATGAGGTAGATACCGGCGCTTCTGTTAGCCCATCCCTCCTCCTCGCCCCCGCCAGAATTCCCCCCGCAGCGGCTCTCCTATTCCTTAATCCCGCGAGTGGCCCAAGCCTTGTCGGGTCAGGAACAGGCCCGCCAACAATCGACCCCAGCCGAATAGACACAGTCGTCGACCGCGATATAAGCGAAACCAGTGAGGCAACCGGTGCTAGGGACGGCTTTATTTCCTGGATTTGTGCCCAAAGGAGTGCTGTTCAGGCTGGTGCAAGCTATCACAACTTCCGATAATCAAAATTGTCCACACAACCAAACGATAAGTGTCAAATTGGAGAAGCGATCTTAACCTGCTGTAGCAATGGCAAAACTTCTCTACTGCTTGCCTTTACCATAACCGCCCAAAACATAGCGGCGCACAAGGCAAAGAAAGAATAAGAACAATAATAATAAAAAACCCTACCTCTTCTCCAACGAACCCGATACAGTCGGGCTTGGCACACTCACTTACTAACAACGTATCAGCAGCCTGCTATTAGGGGAGGTTCTGCTACGACGGCCGCAGGCCGTAATAAGGACTGTGCTTATTTCGCGGCGAACCACAGACCATGAATGTTGCAAAAACGTCAGAACACTTGAGGTTTTGCTACACACAGATCAAGACTTTGTGTGGGTTAGCGTTGGAGCAAACTACACCAATTTTTGGTTAAACAAGTGTGTAAACACCCCTTTACTCGTACGACCGCCTTATTTAAGAGCGGTTCTTAAGACTGTGCAAAGTTGAGCCACTGAGCACTATTGCACGTTTGGAAAGGTTTGTGTCGTTACTGTGGTGATAAGGGCAGTTCGAGTTGAGACGGTCGTTGCAGAACCTCCCTAAAAAGCTATTTCTCAGTGGATCTTACCATTGTGGGTGTGGACATTGAGCTATCCGCAACCCTACCGAAAATATTTGGGATGTGAGGGTTCGACACTTTGTCTGCGGTGAATGCCAGAACTTACTAGCTGTGTCAGTAATAATGAAAATTCAAAAACCGTAAATAACTTGAACTTACGCCTATAAGGCCGAGCAAAAGAGTCACAAATAGGCCAACCTCCCTGAATCCAGCACTAATAGACTCGCTAAAGGCAAAGTCGATGGTCCCCAAACCCATATAATTAAAGTAAAGTAGACCAAAGACATAGGGAAAGAATCCATCGTTAGGTTGTGGAAATGTGGATCAACCTCGGAAATGCGGTCCCACTAGTATATTAATTATAAATTGGGTTAGCAATGATAGATATGATCACCTGTGAGGCGAGACTTAGTCGTCGATCGACCATGCTCAACTGTTGTCTGTTGCGTACTTACAGAGTCGTGCAGACAACTTGAACCGGTGATGCCACGGATTGTGCGCGGGATAGAAGAGGGCAGGCCTACGAATGTGGCCCGGGGGTGTTCACAAACTTCACCTCACCACGAGTATGATACAGTTATGATCAGTAAGTCTGTACACACACCCCACTCAAGCCCACCTAATCCACCACGCAACGTGTTTCACACAACCCTCACTCAACCCGCGGACTTTTTTTCTTTTCTTTTTTTTGCTGTACTAAAAAAAATGACCCCTCTGCAAGCTTTTGGCACCGTTGTAAGTGGAAATCGGCAAACTCCCCAGCAGTGATGAAAAGAACTAAATTCCCATGATAGAGTGCAGATTTTCGAGGCAATAAGTTTGGGTTCCAGTCCATTGGCCATTGCAGAACAATTTGAGTGTACACTGCAGACGGTTTACTGCGCCATTAAACAAGCAGGTGAACTCAACCACTTTGGTTCTGGGTCTAGAACAGGTTGTCCAAAGAAGCTAAATCGACAAATTATTTGCTGCTTACTTTGTCTTGTAAGAAGTTTCCCAAATATATACTTTTGCGACCTCATTTAGGAGAGTGGTACCAATGTGTGTGTCAATAATATTCGCCACACTCTTGGGCCAAACATACATCAGAAATGGAGACAGTGTAAAAGAATTCGACTATAGAAGAAAGATGTGAAAGAAAGACTACGAATTGCATGTTATTATTGTCAGAAAGATGAAGAATTGGTAAATGTATAAGCAAGTACTAGTCCCTACTCTGAGAGTCCGCACTAAGATTTTCTCAAGTGCATCTATAGCGATGAGTCTTTGGTATAAAACTCTTCTAATTTACCAGATGGATGGGTTTTTTGACTTCCAAAGGATAAATGGAATAAATAGGCTGTCAACAAGAGTGAACATGGCAAATCTTCCCTCTTCTTTATGGTATGGGGGGGTATCTGAAAAGGAGGATGGTCAGAATTACAGATTATACGACGAGATGAGGACTCTCCAAAGAATGGATATAGTGCCTGCTCCTATATCAAGATCTTGGAGGAAGTTTTATTGCTCTACTATACCCCTGTAAGGTTTTTTTTGCAAGACAATGCAAAAATTCATATTGCAAAGGTCATCAAAGAGTAGTTAGAGTCTGTTAGGCAGAGACAACCTGATAGACTTCAGAGTTATCTTGGCCAACCAAGATTTGTTTCTGTAGATGGAGATTGTCTAGGAAGGTGTTAGGAATACCAGAACCTGATACCTAGGAACCACCCTAAGTAGGATAACCCCACTTGGAATCAGAATCTCTGGTCTCCAACACCCCCCTCCAGCTCCCTTACGGAGCCCGCGCGTCATCACACATATCAATCTCAGTTGTGTCCTGTGACTACATTACTACAGAATTGAAGGTGTTAGAATAATACCGTATATGTCGCTACCATCCGTCCGACTGGATCCTGTTTGCAGGATATATGAGAGGGGACCTTCGGCTAGGCCTGGGAAGTGGAACGGAGTAATTATGTCAACTACTCAGAGAGTTACTAGGCTTCAAAGGTATAAGACCTTTGGCATGGGCTGTAAGTAATGAGACGATTTCGCATAATGAGATGGTATCAAATAGTAAAGGATCTCTACTAGAGACCAATACAATCGCATACACCAGAAGAGTCTAGAACTCCAAAAGACACTACCAAAGAAGCCAACGAACTTCACGGAGTGTTGCAACTGGGTTTTGGAACACGTTGTAGTCATGGGATGATTCTCAAATACTACGATGGTTACTGAAACCTACTACCCAGAGAGCAACCAAAGGTTGCCAACTGAGGGATTAATTACCAGTCTAGCGGAGTGGCTTCCTGCAAGTTAATAGAAAGTCATCTAAAGAAAATCTATCAGTTGAGTATGAAGTTACAAAAGATCGGAGTCAGACGACCTAAGATGGTTGTAATGACGACCACCTTTGCAGATATAGCCGTGGATAAGACTGATCATTTTATCAATGGCGAAGACAATTGGAGCCAACTCAGTTCGACTTAAGAACTAGGCTATAAGTCTAAAGACTCTGCTAATCGGGATATTACTATTGGGGACAGTACTTTTCCTAAAAAGAAATATCGTAATTACCGAAGAGGGTGTGATAGTTTTCAGGGTCCACAGATGTTCGCACCTTGGAAGAAAACTCGATGTTGCGAATTACGATTGAAGAAGTACATAGTTGTATGATAAATAGATATAGTCCGTGAACACTCAGACGTGGAATATAAATATTGAAGTGCCTCTTAAGCTTTAGACATCATCAAGCAACGGAGAAGAGACCTTAACCATATAATATTATCTTTTACGATTCTACCTATTTTACTTTACTTCGCTCCTAGTAGTCATAAACGAAACGAGCCAAGTCCGAGCCTTCCTAGACAATCTCTGTCTACAGAAACGAATCTCGATTGGCCTAGACAATCTTGAAGTCTATCAAGTTGTCTCCGCCTTCAACGGAGGGACACATAACAATATTCTACTGACCATTGCA